AAAAAAATGCAAAGGGGGCTCTTTTTGGTCTCTTCTCCTTCTTCTTCTTCTCCTCCTCCTCCTCTTCTTCCTCCTTCTCCTCCTCCTCCTCCTCTTTCTTCTGTATGAACAGTAATGTTCTGAACCTGTGCATAGTGGCATGCACCTGCCTTCTTAGCTACTTGGGAGGCTGAGACAGGAAGATCACCAGTTGGAGGCCACCTGGAACAAGCAAATATTCGTGTGCCATCTGGAGCCAAAGCAGAGAGCGGAAATACATAATCTGACTGGAGATATGCATATCTCACCTATATGCAATCACCTAGCATGCATTAGGTGGTGAGTTCGATCCCAAGCACAGGGCGGGGGGATACCAACCAAACAGGGGAAGCTAAAGGCAGGGAGTTGTAATACCAACAGCAAGACTCAGTAAGCCAGGCCTCCCTTTCCCCATTCAGATCCTGGGTTTTTGGCTGCTAGAATTGCTTCTCAGGCAGGAAGCAGTGGAAGTCCATGTTGAAGCAAATGCCAGAAGGAGGAGAGAACACTCTTAGATACTGACACTTGGGCACAACAATAAAATAGCCAGTCTTGCCCAGTTACCTGTGATGTGGCTCACTCTGACCCATGGATTTTCCAGCTAACTCCTTGGGGTTTAGGCCTTAGAAACAATCGATCAAGCTCACCAGATACTTGATGCACGAGCCAGTTATGTGCAAAATACACAAAAGAAGGATTTGCAGAAAAGTACCTCATGCCTAAAAGAAAAATCCCCAAATCTCCCCCAAAAGCAAAAGCAGAAGGAGTAGGGGAAAACACACAAATCCTCTAAAGTAAAACTAAAACCACAAAAGAAAAAAAGAAAAATAACCCCAAATCCTCATAGAAGACCTCAGAAAAAAACACTAAATAAAATCTAAACAATGAGTGTTGCAGAGAGACAAGAGAAATGTCACATCTAGGGAATAAGCTAGGAGGCCATTACAAATAAATAATCAGAAAATTAAAACAACCAGCCTTGGTATTAATCAGTAAGATTCCTCAAATAGCACATTAAATAGAGTCAAAAAAATGCCCTACATCTTACTACTCTATGGCCAAGGACAGTTCAAGAGGGCATGGAGGGGCCCAGGAAGCTGGACGCTAATTGCCCTGCCTTGGGAGTGGACAGGCTCAGAATAGACACTTCCTGCCTTTGTATGATCCTGCCAGCCCAGGCAGAAAGCGCTGCGTGAACATCGCAGGCGAACCTTGGCAGACCCAAGTGCCAAGGCCTTCCCAGGTTCCCTGACTTTAGAGTGTGTCAACCCTCTGCGAAGCTCCTAGTCAGGGAATCTGCTTTTTGCTTTTTTTTTTTTTTTTTTTTTGGCAGTACCAGGGATTGAACTCAGGACCCTGCACTTGCCAGGCAAGTACTTATTCTACTGAGCTATCTCCCCATCCCAGAAACTGCTTTTCAAAAAATTTCAAACCACTCTCCTAGTTTTATTATGCTTGGAGAAGTGGAAGCAAATTTTGTTTGATTTTAAAAACTAAGCTCTCCTGATTTACTAAGAATAAAATAGAAAGTCAACCACTGTAGTGCACATCTGTAACTGCAGCACTTGGGAAGCTGAGGCAGGAGAATCGTTAAGCATTTGAGGCTGATCTGGGCTGCATAACCAGTTCATATGTAGTTCAAGGCTAGCCTGAACTGCCTGTTGAGGCTCTGTGTCAACACACACCCCAGCTTCCAAAAACTAATGAGTTGGGTGGTGGGGAGTAAGATAGTACATGGGTCTCCTGAGGATTAAACTCTTCCTAAAAATAGCTCTTGACTAACAAGGATTGAAATCCCAGCAACCCTGGGGTGTGTCAGTGTACAACACACTTGTGGTCACTGCAGCAACATGTGTGCACAATACACTCGGTGTATTACTTCACAATCTTGTTTCACTCTAACTTATGCCATTCCTTTTATAAAAAGTTATTTATTTATTTATTTATTTGGTACAGGGTCTCACTACACAGCTTGGACTCCTCGTGATCCTCCTGTCTCAGCCTCCCTAGAGCTGGAGTTACAGGCATGCACCACCACACTGGGTTCTGGGGGCCAGCACGGCTTGTGGTACTGGGGATCAAACCCTGGTTCTTGTGCTTACCAGGAAGGAACTTAGACCACCATGCTATCTCCCCAGCCCAAATTATGCCAGTCTTATATTTTTCTTGGTTCCTGTCTATCCTGCGGTTGTGTTTTCTTTGTAACAAAATCTTGAGTCAGTATTTGAGGAATATGAAAATCTACATTAAAAAGCCTCAGTGAGTCACTCATGAAGGTCAATTAAAATTGTGCTGATGGAAGAAAGCAGCATGATGCATTTTGTGCGGGGCATCAGTGTACCCAACAGGGGGCAGCACTGCTTCCTGAAGCCTCACAGGGCCTTGAGGGGCCATGATGAGGGCAGGGCATCTAGTCCTTACAAGGCCGATGCTATGCCCTACAGTGTGGCTAGGACCCTGCCTCATGTCTGCCATGGCAGCGTGGCTGCTGGGAGAATGCGCAGAGTTTTGAGCAGGTGGAACAACACTTTCTGGCTCTCCAGAGAAGACCAGATGCTGGAGGGTCAGGTGAAGCAACTGCTGCCTCTATCAGTGGGGTAGCCCTGTGTCCAGCCTGTGCAACAGTTCCAAAGTCTAAGCAACTGGTCCCTGCGATGTCAGGGTAACCTCCTGTAGCATCATCCTCCACCCAAGGAACAGGGCTTGCTGCCCCTTCAGCAGAGACATTTTGTTTGCCCCAGAAGTGCCTAAATTGCTCAGAAATGGCAAATAGTTTGTTTACCAAATCCACATCAGTGTAGCTCCCCTTCATGGGTTAAGGATCACTTTCTGTTTTATTAATCCTGAGTATCTCTGTAACATAAGTTCCTTCTCATTGAAAGTTAGATCAAACAAGGCAAAGAATTTTTTCCTAATTTTCTGACACCATCCAAGCTATCGTCTAGCTTGCACTACAACTATCGTCTAATTTAGGCTATGTTTCTACTATTGTTGTTGCTTTTTGATCCAATATTTAAATAATACTGAGAGAAAATAATACAATTTGACATGCAACAGAGCACCGGGTAAAGGGATTATTTGTGCTGTACCAACAGGGTGCTATCCTATGTTGCAAGCACCACAGTGACTATTTTTGGGACCTATTGATTGATTCTCGGTCTAGTAAGTAGCCTTCACCTAGCAAGGCCTTGTGGTGCATTTCATCTCCAGCCACAGAAGAGAAGTCACTGTTTTGCTGTGTGCTAGACACTCCTTTCTCCTCTGGTGTTTCCTCTGCTATGCTCTTCCACCACCTACTCTGCCTATAGAAACTCTATGATATAATTCTATAAAGTTCAGTTCAATGCTACCAGAAAAAAATATTCTTTCCTCTTTGATGGAATTTTCAAGAAATCTCCATTGTGTTTACTTAGGTGCCTGTTGGTTTTTTTTTTTTTTTTTTTTCCTCCTATTAGAGTAGGAGGCCAATATGTGGCTTCCTCTGCCATGGTTCCTAAACCTATTCTTTGCACATGGTAGACCACTAGTGATAACTGCCTGTTAGCATGACTATGTCTGAATTGCAGACACCAGTGATGTTCAGACTATGGACAAGACTAACACACATATGTTGTGGATCTGACTTAAATCCATTCCAGAACAAATTGCTCAACCAGAATTATTAGATGTTTCATCAATCCTGGATTTACTCACTTACTAAACAATAAATGAGCACCTATTTGGCCACTTCGTGCAGGGAATTCTCCTAGAACAGAAGGAGCACAGCAGAGGAGGTGATCATGGAGGACATGAGACTGTCAGCAAACCAGCCAGGGGACTGCAGGGAGTTGAGAGAGGTGGGCTGTGCTCTAGGTAGAGCCAGCAGCATGAACGAAGGCGAGGGGCAGATGGAGGGGCCACTTGCTGGAGGAATCTCCAGTCTCAAAGTTAAGAGCAGCTCCTAAAAGGGAACAAACTTCAGAAATCCTTAGAAGTATGTTTCAAGCTTTTCACCACCTTTGTGTAAGGCATCCTGGCTTGTATGCTCTTGAGGTGGCTTGAACACTCTTCCTGCAGTCTTGGCTGTGTATCACCCTGCCGTGCCTTATTGGGAATGAAGTGTTTGCCAGTGTTTCTCTGGGAGCTATCTGCTTGACAAGCACTGGACTGAGGCCGCAGGTTGTTGCAGGAACCATAAGGGGTCAATTGAATTTTCTGTTATAACTATGGAAAACTATTAGGTTTTTTTAATGCTTTTTATTATTTACTCTAAGGAATGTGTTTTCGTGCTCTGTTTAAGGCTGTTTAGTAATGAGTAACTGTCTCTCTCCCCTCTCTAATTCTTATAAACATAGTCAGCATAAGATGTGTCTTACTGGGCCGGGGAGATGGCTCAGTGGAATAAGTGCTTCCCTGGCAAGCACAAGGGCCTGAGTTCGATCCCTGGTTCTGAAAAAAAAAAAAAGATGTGTCTTACAAAAACATCTTGCTCAACAAGCCCCCATGGGCAAGTTGTGCATATTGCTAAACTGTGAAAGATCCATTAGTCATATAATTTTCATTTTAAAAGCCCCTTGTAGGGGTCAAGGAGATGACTCAGTAGAATAAGCACTTCCCTGGCAAGCATAGGGGTCTGAGTTCAATCCCCAGTTCCAC